AATGGTACAGGATAACTAAAAACAATTTCATTCACATTGGTTCTACAAGATGTGTTGGGTGTGTTTCTCTCTCCCTCACACCAGTTTGAATCTCGAGTCACTCCATTTGCTGGTAGCAATAGTAGGCTGTTATCTTCTATGTGACTGGGGTTTCGTCAGTGTGGGAGCTAGCGCGAGTGGAGGATCCAGACCGTCGTTCCCGCCACCCCTGCATTTAGGCTCAGTCTTGTCCCTCCCGGTGCAGAGAAAGTTCACGAGGAGATTGACCGGGTGATCGGGCGGTCCCGCTTGCCGGCCACCGAGGACCGGAGCCGCATGCCCTACACCGACGCCGTGATCCACGAGGTGCACAGATTCGCGGATGTCCTCCCCATGAGCCTCCCGCACGTCACGACCCAAGACGTCCAGTTCAGAGGATACGCGATTCCCAAGGTCGGGCTCCCGGTGCCAGGGCGAGGGTAGGGCCAAGGTGCTGGGGAACGCTGAGATCTCTCGCTCTCCCAAGACCAACCCTGCCCCCTCCAGCCCCTGGTCCATTGAAATCCATGGAAAGTCCCTCCCTGGCAGACCATTTCACCCACCGTGCGATGCACCGGATTGGCAGCCTCGTTCCCTTCATGCCATGCGCTGCATCCAGCCAGCTGCTCACTCCCCCCGAACCTCGGACACGGGGGGCGGGCACGTCAGGCGTGGGGTAGGGAGGGGTATGGCCAGAGGTAAAGCAGAGCTAATCGAAATGGGGGGGGGACTGTTTTTTTTTCTCTGTGGAAAATTTTGATGAAAACAGGGAAACATTTCAATTTTGGGGCAAAAATTTGAAAACTGAAAATTTTTGGCTGAGAACTGAAACATTTCAATCCCAAAATGCTGCTGCAAAGCTTCATGGGAGATGTAGTTGGAGTGCCGCATGTCCCATTCTCCTCTACAGGCCAGGCTTCCCGATCAGACTACACCTCCCATGGTGCACCACAGCATCCCCTCTTGGCACTGCATCATGGGAGTCCTTGGCCGTGGTGCACCATGGGAGATGTAGCTCAGGTTCCTCATGCTCCCATTCTCCTTTATAAGCCGGGCTTGCTGGTCAGACTACATCTCCCATGTTGCACCACAGTGTCCCCGCTTGGACGAGGAGAGCTGCTGCATCCTGGGTGTCCCTAGCCATGGTGCATCATGGGAGATGTAGTCCAGCTGGAAAGCCTGGCCCATAGGGGAGAATGGGGACACGAAACAACCAAACTACAACTCCCACAAGGCATTGTGGCAGCATTTCTGAATCAAAATACTTCGTTTTGTTTTTGTTTTGTTTTTAACGAAAAATCTACGTTTTCTGCAGGAAACAGGCATTTTTTGTGAAAATTATGTTTAGTCAAAACCTCCGTTTTCCATCATTTTGATGGAAAATTTGCACCCAGCCCTAATGCGACTGTAACCCACACCCACGCTGTCCCCTCCGGTGCTGACTGAGGGAGCTGCACCTTTTAGCATCCTCTGTAGGGGCTTTGTGCTTTAAGCTCCAGAGGTAACAGGTTCAATCCCCATGGCTGGCGACCCACTCGATGCCCTGGTTGTCCCTAGCTGGTGTCCATCCTCTGCACAGGCTTCACTGGATGCATGCAGAGTGACAGCTGACTGCTAAGCAAAAGGGGCTGGGCCGTGGGGTGGCAATGGTTGGAAGACGACCCTGGGTTCGGCTGGTGGCCTCCCCCCACGTCTAGCGGTAGGATGTGTTGGCTCTGGCCGTGTCCTGTCATCTCCCAGGTGGTTTTCTCTGTTCCCAGGGCACCACCGTCATCCCCTTGCTGACCTCAGTCCTCCAGGATACAAGCCAGTTCAGGAACCCGGACGACTTTGACCCTGGGCATTTCCTGGATGGGAACGGGCACTTCCAGAAGAACAGCGCCTTCATGCCGTTCTCTGCAGGTACAAGGCGTGGATCCACATTCAGGAGTGGGGGAGGCCTAGTGGTTAGAGCAGGGGGGGATGGGAGCCTGGACTCCTGGGTTCTATCCCAGCTCTGGGAGGGGAGGGGAGGGGGGACTAGTGGTTAGAGCAGGGGGGCTGGGAGCCAGGACTCCTGGGTTCTCTCTCCGGCTCTGGGAGGGGAGTGGGGCCTGGTGGTTAGAGCAGGGGGGGCTGGGAGCCAGGACTCCTGGGTTCTCTCCCAGCTCTGGGAGGGGAGTGGGGCCTGGTGGTTAGAGCAGGGGAGGCTGGAGCCCAGCAGTCCCGTTTCCCTGCTCTGACTGTGCCCTGGTCTCTCTCAGAGCTGGGGCCAGTGAGCACTTACTCCTCGGGTTTCCCCCTAACCCCGCTTGCCGTCCTGTCTCCTCTCCCAGGCAAGCGGGTGTGCCTGGGCGAGAGCCTGGCTCGCATGGAGGTCTTCCTCTTCCTCACTGCCATCCTGCAGCGCTTCACCCTGCAGCCGCTCGGCGACCCGGGCACCCTCGACGCCAGCCCCGTGGAGAGCGGGCTGGGGAACATCCCCCATCCCTACGAACTCCGGCTGCTCCCGCGCTAGAGTGCACCCGCCTCAAACTCCTCCCCCCCCGTAAAGCCGAGGACCATGGGCAGCGCGGGCACCCCTAGCTCAGGGAGGCTAGCCCCCTGCCCCCCCCGTTCCACCTGAGGCCCCGCCCCTTCCACCCAAAGCCCCACCCCTTCCACCTGAGGCCCCGCCCCTTCTTCCTAAGGCCCCACCTCCCACCGCCACTTCTGCCTCCCCACTCTCGCCGGCCGGCCTGCCAGTGCAGCCCCACATCCCAGCCAGCCCGTCGGTGCCAGAGCAGTCCAGAGGAATCTCAAGTCCTGGGCAGCCGGCCGGGGGCGAACCCTGAGCCCGGGCCACCCAGAGGGGCTCTGAGCCCTGAGCCCTGCCGAGGAGCCCCGGGAAGAAACACAGGGTAGCAAACAAACCCTCGTTAAGCAAACTGCTGACTTGTGAAGAAAAGGACGAGGACGCTGAATTGGATTTTTGCAGCGTAAGCGAGACGAAGGGGCGGCATGGTGAGATTTCTCTTGGCCCGTGTCGCTAAGCGGCAATTTCGCCGCCCACGCAAGCCACTGAAAAAAACACGCGCATCCGAATTCCCAGCCAGGCAAAGTCAGCAAGAGGCTGCGTGAGAACTTTCTGGAGTGCAGATTTGCATGGCTCTCGTTATAAACCCGTAGAGCTTTGAATCGCATCAGCTATTGGCATTAAGTAAGCATTGTCTGCCCCCCCACCCACTGTGTGACCCCCCCCCCCACTTATTTCCCACAACTGTGAACATTTAAATTGATACAACTCGGGGGAAACGCGTCAAACCCAGCATTTGGAGCAGCTGTGAACATTTACGTTTAAAAAAATGCTTAAAAATAAACACCGATATAATCCATCATCATTCTAAAGAAATTCTGCTAAGCCGAGATCTAAGGTGACAGAAATAGCTTTGGGGTTTGGGGGGTTGGGGAACGCGAACGGGAGAATTGGTCAATACAACCCCCGGCCGGGTTTTCGGAAGCCAGGAACACGCGCAATAGGGAATAACACGAATCCTCGCCCACTAGCCTGGGAAAGTGACTTTGTTTAAGGTTTTGGCTGAGTCCCTCACAACCGGGCCTCGCGTGGGCTAACTGGTTCTCGGCTCCGGCTTTTGCTAACATCACAGAGGAAAAACCACCCGAAGCTAAAGCGTTAAGACAGTTTTGCCACTGACTTACCCAAGCCCGCCTTCCCCTGGCAGCTACGGTGGTCAGCCTTTTAATCTACCTCCCCATCAATGCTATCCGCCAGGTGCCAGGAGGTTGGTCCCTGGGTCAGTGATTAGACACTGAATAAACCAGACTTTGGATTGATCTGTTACCCGGTGCAGTGACATATTAACCCCGTGCGTTCTAGCCCGGCCACCCCTGCCAGCTGGATCGTAGCACCACTTGGAAGCCAGAGCGAGTAGGACAAAGATCTGGGAGCTGGATGAAGGGGGTAACTGAGGCCAACCCAGGGGAGCGGCGTGTGAGAGGAGGGTCTGTGGAACTGCAGGAGACATGGGAACAGGCCGGAGCTTGGGGCACGGCAGCATCCCGAGTGTGTATCAGGTCTCTGGCAGAGAGGGAGAGTGGCCCCAGTTCTCAGCCATGCTCACCCCATGCCAGGTGCCCTGAGAATCTGCTCCCCTCTGCAGCTGCCTCCCCGGCCAGTGTGGAGCTGGCACAAGGACCCTGCTCCCAGTGTATGTGTGTGCGGGAGAGATCGGAGGGGTGCCTGGAACACACTGCGCTGTGGATATTCCCTGTCTCCCAGGGCCAACAGGGGGCAGAGCATGAGTTAGAGCAGCCCTGAGGCTGCTCTAGCTTCCTCCATGGCCCAAGTGGTAAACAGCACAAAGGGGATTTAAAGCACCAGCTTCCTTCCCATTCCTAGAGCTGGAATAACTGAGACCTGGGCCCTGAGGTTAGGAGCCAGAACCCCGCAGGCGGGTCCTGGGCTGGGTGGGGACCCCTGGGGCACGTCGACACTGCAAAAGAAAGCCTTGGTGCAGCACGTCTCAGGGAGTGGGGCTCAGACCCCACGCCCCAGCCCCAGCGGCAGTGGCTACGCGGCCCGAGCCAGCGGCCCGAGCGCTGAGACTGGCTGCCCAGCGTGTTTTGGGGGTGGTTTTGCAGTGTTAGACATACCGCAAGAGGCTGAGGGGGGAGACACTCAACTTTCCCCTGGAGAAAGGGCCTGGCGGTGGGGTCAGGGTGGGGCCGTGGGAGGAATTTTGTAGCGACGCCAGCAATTAATATCTAACGCCGATTAATGAGCTACCCGGGCGCATCAGAAAGGCTTGCACAACTGCCCCCGGGCTGGAGCACACCGGCCTTATAACCCGGCCGCCCTGCTGCCCAACCCGGGGACGCCCGCTGCCCACCGGATCATCTCCAATGGAGCTGGTGTCAGCCTCCCTTCTCCTCCTCCTCTGCCTCTGCTGCATCCTCCTGGCCTCGGCGTGGAAGAGCCGGAACCAGCGAGGGCAGCTGCCGCCGGGCCCTACTCCCCTGCCCCTGCTGGGGAACTTCCTGCAGCTGGACAGGACCAATGTTATCCACTCCTTGGAGAAGGTGAGTTCTGATCCCCGCTGGGGCAGAGCAGCCCTGCTCCCCCGAGGCACCGGGGTCCAAGCCCCAGCTGCTGTTGACTGGCCGCAGCTCCATTGGGGGATACCTATGGGAATGGGCTGGAGGGAAGGAGAGATGGATGGATGGAGGGGTGCGTGGGGGG